ATCTTGGACCATCTTGTGAATAGAGTCACTATAAGAAGAAAAATGCACATGCCACTTATACATGTTGATTTCCTACCTTTAAATGATCCCAGTGTTAATTTAGGTACTTTGAACTATGTCTTGCAAGTGGATGCTCAAAATACAGTATTTATTGAGTGTGGGGGCAGAATATGCCATCCCAAGATATGCTACATTAGCATCAAGATGATTGTGAGCTGAAGGCAACTGAGAAGGAGCATGGACAAGAAAAGCTCTCTGCTCTCCCCTATTTGCCTAAAAGCAGGACATACATTTCCAAAGGTGTCCCTCCTCCCTTCTCTACAAGGAAGAACAAAAGTTAATCACTGGTGACATTGTTAGACTCTTTATCATCTAGGAGACAGCCCTAGAAGCATCAACATAGCAAGCTTTATTGGCTAGCCTTTATCTACCAACAGTTTCCCATGTACTTAATTTGCCTTCCCACAATTTTCTGTCCCTAGAGAATCAAGGGACATTTTCTTTTGACATCTGTCTAAAATCATATTATTCCTTTGCTAAGTAGCTATATAAGCCTAGTTCTAGCCAAATCTTTGACTTACTCATCTTTGGGTACTCCTATGTGCCACCTGCACCATGTACCAGTTAATAAACCACTGTTCCTTTTTCTCTTGTTAATCTGTCTTTGGTCCATCTAATTTACAGGGTCCCAGTAGAGAACACAAGATAGGTAGAGGAAGAGATTTCTCCTCCCCTACATCATTTTTTTTCTGATTCCTGTAGATTCCTCATCAAAACTTTATGGCTGTATAATTCCATTCCAAACCTAGGCATACTTTCAATATGAGAACTTGGAGTGAACTTATACAATACTGAGCAAACCATTTGTGTATGCAGCTTGCCATATGGTGGAGTTCCAAAGATGGATAGCAGTCACCAACCTTGCAAGCCCCTGTGCAGAGTGTGAAATGGGAATGACAGTATGGCAGATAGAAGAAATAGTCAATCAGTCAACATTGAAACATGGCGCTTCTACTAGGATCCATGCTGGGCATTAAAGGAGGGGATGACATAGGCCTCATCTCAGAAGATCTGATTTGGAATTCAAATATTTATCCTATGTTTCTCAATATCATCTATAACATAGACCCACAGGGCACTAATGAGGAGTTGTTTACTGTAGGAATGAGAAATCTGATGCTCCATACAGCTCCCCTATCTCTCTTTGAGTCCCTAGTGACTATTTTTGACCCTCATATAGGGCAACCTGTAAGTGAAGCTACTCATACTGTAGCAGATCTGGGTGAAGTTGAAACAATAAGAGCATGGAAGAAAGTATGGGCTATGACTGAAAGGAGAGAAGCAAAGGGCTCTGAGAAGGTCTTGAGAACCTAGATGTGGGTCAATTTGATAAAGGCCGGGGTAGTGAAAGAAAAACTCAATAGGCAGCCCAATAGGATCTTGTTAGAACTGTGGTACCAATTAAAGCCAGAGCAGCAGTTCCAGCCGCTATGGTCCAGGACACGGAAGCCTGAGTCAAAGCCCCATGTCCAGCTTGTGTCTCTGCAAGACTTCCTGGGGGACAGTACTCAGGCTCTGCCTGGGCCCTCACCCCCACAGGACAATGATTGGGTGTCATGGTTTGACTAAGGAGAGGGTCAAGGTTTCCACCTTGGGGGATGTGGTAGGGACCTGAGACCACATGTAGAATTAGCAATTCATTGGCCTCCTGTGAATGTACAATGTGTTCTGGCACTGGCAGACAAAGGAGCTGAATATTCCCTGATTTATGGCAACCTGAGCCTTTTTTGGGGATACCTGCTATGATAGATGGCTATGGGGGTTAGGCAATTAGAGTGAAGAAAGCCCAAATCCCACTGGGGACAGGATGTTTACCCCCAAAGGAGTATACTGTGTACATTTTTCCCACCCCGGAATATATTTTGGTTCATATATCTTGCAGGGCCTATGGTTACTCAGCAGACCACTACAGGTGAGTTAGAACTGAGGGTATGTGTAGTAAAGGCAGTTCTGAGAGGACATACTAAGCACACATCTGCAACTCTGCTGTACCTCAGCGGGGGACAAATGCTAAGCAGTATAAATTGCTTGGGGTCACAAGGAAATTGGAGAAACTCTACAGGAGTTGGAGAATGTGGACATCATAAAACCTACTCATAGTCCTTTTAAATCACCAGTGTGGCCAGTAAAAAAGCCAGACCGCTCCTAGAGCATTTCCGTGGAGTACAGGGAATTGAATAAAGTCACACCCCCTTTGCATGCTGCTCTCCCCTCTATAGCAGCCCTTATGGACACACTAAGTTGTGAACCAGGGATGTATCATTATGTTGTGGACCTTGCTAATGCTTTCTTCTCTATTGACATAGCACAGGAAAGTCAGGAACAGTTTGCCTTCATGTGGGAAGGCTGGCAGTGAACATTCACTGTCCTTCTGCAGGTACCTCCACAGTCCCACCATCTGTCACGAACTTGTAGCCCAGGACTCGGCCACATGGAAGAAACCACAATCGGTGTAGCTGTATCACTACATTGATGATATTAAGCTCATGTCTGATTCTCTTGCAGATTTAGGAGCAGTTCCTAGGCTGCTGCAACATCTAAGGGAGAAAGGATGGGCTGTGAATAGCACCAAGGTTTAGGGACCTACTTTGTCTGTAAAATTTTTGATGTTGTCTGGTTGGGTAAAACTAAACTTATCCTAGAAGCAGTTATAGACAAGGTTCAGGCTTTCCCTACCCCTAACACTGTGGCTGTCTTACAATGGTTTTTAGGTCTTTTGGGCTCCTGGAGAGGGTTTATCTCACACTTGGCACAAATTCTGAAGCCCTTATACCAATTGGTACGAAAGGGCATCAGGTGGGACTGAGATGAGGCATGTACAGTTGCTATCACTGCTGCTAAATGAGCAGTCAAGGCCGGATAGGCCTTGAGTGTAATGGATTCATCAAGGCCCTGTGAGCTTGATGTTCATGTAACAGAAGATGGTTATGGATGGGGCCTTTGGCAGTGGCTTGAATGGACACACCAACCTATTGGATTCTGGTCACAACTATGGAAAGGAGCAGAGGTCTGGTACACCTTGATAGAGAAGCAACTGGCTGCTGTGTACCATGCCTTGCTACAGAGCCCATTGCCAGAACAGCTCCCACCAAGGTAATAACCACCTATTCCATCATGGGGTGGGTGCAAGACTGGACCCAAAGGCCATGGAGTGGTGTGGCACAGACACCAACACTGTCCAAATGGGATGCATATTTACAGCAGCACAGTACCCTCTCTACTAGTCTCTTAAGTGGAGAACTCCAATGCTTGCTGAGGCCAATGACATATATTAGTGAAAAGCAGGAAGAACTTGCTTTTGAGCCATTGGTAGCTGACAGTCCTTATTAGGATGGAAAAGCCCCTGTACCTGAAGATGCTTGGTATACAGATGGCTCCAGTCACGGGCAGCCCCTAAAGTGAGGGCTGTGCCTTTCCATCCTAAGACTGAGACAATATGGGTGGAGGATGGAGAGGGGAAGAGCAGCTAATGGGCTGAGTTGTGGTCAGTATGGCTCATGATCACCCAGGAGCCTTCCCCCATAGTTGTCCACACTGACAGCTGGGCTATCAGGGCTTGACCCTGTGACCACTGACATGGTATCATGGCAACTAGATGATTGGTCATTGGCCCCTTTGGGGGCAAGAGTTGTGACAAAACCTATGGACTTTTGGTAAGACCTAGACAATTACTGTATATCATGTGACTGGCCATTGGCCTTTGGCATCTGCAGGGAATGATGAAGCAGACACATTGACCCAGGTGCATTGGCTAGAAGGAAAGCTGGCCTCTCGTGTAGCCCAGTGGTTACAACAGTGTTTCTTGCATGTGGGGCAAAAGACAATGTGGGCTGTAGCCCGTCAGTGGGGCTTGCCATTGACCTTTGAAGAAGTCAGCAGAGCCTGGAAGGAGTGCCTTGTGTGCTCTGAGAGAGACTCACATTGAGTCCCACAGCAACATAGGACAATAGTAAAGGGGCTGATACTATATTGGGCCTCTGCCCACATCATAAAGATATCAGTATGCCATGACTTGTGTGGATACAGCTACTGGATTGTTGGTTGCTTTTCCTGCATGTTGTACAAATCAGCAAACCACCAAGAGGGGTCTAGAACATCTATTTGCAGCTTATGGCCAGCCACAGGTGATTGAGAGCAATCAAGGCACCCACTTTACTGATCATGCATTATAAGGATAGGTGCCCCAATTAGGAATAAAGTGGAAGTTTCATGTACAATATAGCCTTACTGGGGCAGTCATGATAGAGAGGTACAATGGTTTGTTGATATCTGGCCTGAAGTCAGACACTAATAGTCTATGGGACTGGTCTGTTCACTTATGGATAGTGCTACGGCATTTGAGTGAAAAGCCCTGAAAAGGAACCTTGAGCCCTGTGGGTATGCTAACACACATTGCTGCCTCTCCTATACAACTGTATGTGCAAACCAAAGAGGAGTTATTGAAGCCAGGATATGACCAACAGAGCAACATCCTGCTGCCAGCCCCTACTGCATTAAACCCTGGAGACTCTGTTGAGTGGACGTGGTCCTGGACATTTCAACATATGGATCGGTGATGGCTGGTTCTTCTGGTACCCTAGGGAAAAGGCCTGGAAGCTGGCCTCATGTGTATTCTTGGAGTAACAGCAGAGTGGCCTCCAAAGATTGCAGTAGTGTACCTAAATCATCCAGGAGATAAGAGTATCATATGGGGAAGTTTCATTTTATCTTTATGGTCGGTGCATGTACCTTCTGTAGTCCTATATATTGACCCATGTGTAAGTCCCACAGGGAGGGGGGTGAAAGTCTGGTATACTAGACCAGGATGAGATCCCATCCCTGCTGTGGTCCTATCACAGAACCACTCTCTTACATGTATCCTACCTGATGGACAAGATTTGCCTATGCTGGTGTTATTAAAACGTGTATCGTATCGCTCTTAAGGTTATTTTCTTCTACAGTCCTTGTGTCCTGGATGCGTCCCCTGGCTGCAGCTGCCACATGATGATTGCTCTAAACTCTCTACCTGTTCAACTACTGACTGCCTGTGGAATTGGGGAGCTATTGTCTTAATCTGCATAGGACTTTGAACCTAACTGAATCCTCCGACTTGATTATTATCATGATTTTATTGCTGTTGCTATACTATGTTATTAGTCTGGTTATAGTGCTCCGGTTTTCTTGCCAGGGCCATTGCAGAAGCTGTGCAATGAGTAGATTGTAAGGCAAGATTTCTGGAGGGATGGGCTCTGGGTAAAATTGCAGTCTTTCCAGAATCTTTTGCCTGGCTTTAGTGCATCTCCATACAATGAGTGTTACCAGGGGCTGGAGAGAAGTAGTTCATCTCCATATCAATAGGTAAATACAAGGCTAGTGAAGCCATATCTGGACTGGGGAGGTTGGGTGGGGGCCTGTTCTTCTGCAGCTCGATTGTGAGACACGGTAGAGCAAAAGTGGACTTCTTGTGCAAAATAAATGGGTTTCTCCCATTGACTGATTTCAGTTTCAAAGGTATTTTGCCCTGGGATTTCCCCCCCGGAGTTACATCCATATTAATTAAATCATTAAACTTTTAAGAGCAAATGATGGCATTAAAAAGAGTTACGAATTAACATTGTATGGGAATCATTAGGACTTGAGAGATTTAGGCAAAGATCTTTTTGGTAGGACTTTGTAACAGGATTTAATACAGAGAAGTTTCAGAAAGAAATATGTAAGGTTTTGTAAAAAATGGGAACCAATTGGCAGAGAAGCTGAAGACAGACTAAAGGTGGTATACCTGGAAATAGTGAGGAATTGCCACATAAGAGAAACTGTCATCCAGACAGAGCCTGAAGGAACAGACCATCTGTTCAGCAACTGGAAATGTCGTGATTCACTTGGCGTAAGGGCCACAATTCAAGGGGCAAAGAGCAGAAGGTGTTGAAAAAAAGTTCAACAATTAAAAGAGCTTTAAAATCATGTTTCTTACTGATGATCTGTTGACATTCTGCACTTAACAGGTATTCAAAGAATGCCAGAGAATTATTTTCTGGGTAGAATAAAATATGTCCCTTTAAAAGTCAAATTAAGGCTTTTATCTCCTGAATATGTTCTGACTTTGGAGATTTAGAATAATCAATTTCTATCACTGGTAGAAAGCCATACTCTGAGTTTAAGATCTATCATTTGCTTCAGCTACATTATAGTAGTTTAATTTTTAAAACAACACTGCTGAAGTCATTATCATACAGGAGCTAGGTAATATATTGTGATACAGATTAAAAGAAAATGCACTACATTTCTTCAGGGTACAAAACAGGTACAGCTATGTCTCTGCTTGCGCACCTGGTGCTTATGTATTCTAAATGTAAATTGTTTTCTTTTAAGTGAAAATATTGTATTGAATTTTGATGCAAAGGGATTATATATTTGTTTTTTATTTTCCTGAGTTATAAAACTCATTTTCTACCTCTAATGAGAGCTCCCTGAAATAGTCCACAATGTTTGTACCAAATCTGGCTTTTAAAGAAGTGGATTTATATAAACTATAGCTGGTATTTTTCTGTATCTATATGCAATTTCTTTCTTTGTAATATTTTATGTAGACTTATGAATTTATCTATAGATACTTTTAAGTATCTGTATCTTTTCAGAGTAGTGAAAAAAATCTAAATTTGTAATTGAACAAAGAATCCAAATTGAGTTACCAAGACAAAGAATTCTTAAATCATGAATTTTAGAAGATAATATTGTTCTGAAAAGGCTTCAGTATATAGAACACATATTTGAGCAATTTCAGGTTGTAACCTAGTAATCAAGACTTTTCTACATCACTACAATTATCGTCATTAAGAATGTAGACATTCTACATAACAAACACTGAATAAGCCTTCTTTGAAACTGATGGCCAATATAACTCAGAAGCATTGACATGACATTATAGAACAACTCTGTAATAAAGGGCAAACCCCGTGTTTTACAAACAACTTGATTTCAATCTCAGTATGAAGTTAAAGCATAAATTGGGACCACAGTCAGAGTCTGTAATAATAAAGATGTGCTGTGCCATGGTGTGTGTGTGTTTATTTTTAAGTTATTCTGAAGAAGATAAATGAGGCGTAATAGTGGTACTTTTTCATTGGTTCTATTTTTCAATAGATTCTTCATAATGAAAATAAGGTGGCTTCGGAGAAGAAAGACTAGTAAATCTGAAAATATAGATACCAGAATGGTCTCATTCTATGTAATGATGAGTAACAGAAGTAGCTGTATTCATCAGTTGAGTAACTTCTCCATGGAAAATAGGCAATGCATTGTTATTGTTGGAAAAAGAGCTAGACCTCCACAAATATCAAGAAAAATGGTGCCTGAATGCATGTTCCTACCATCTTACCCTTTTAATTCCAATCATATCCTCAACTACTGCTCCTAAATGAAGCACTGCTAAATAGATTGTTAAGATCTCAGGCTCTGCTGGGTATGGAAGCAGTGAGGGAATAATTAAGCATAGTATTTTGTACACTTTAAGTTCAGGAGAGCTCCATTACTGTTCAAAGCTGCTTTGCAGTGTAGTGGCAATGGGCTTCTACCCCTCTGCATTTCATCCAATCTACTTCCCAAATAAAATCACAGACCTTTGCCCTTTTTGAGGCAGACCCTGTCCTTATAAGCTTGCCACTTGGGTGAGCCAAACAAAATGCACCTTTTTCACTGATAAGCAATTCTGAAATACAGAAAAGCAGAGCTGGTTGGAGCAAAACAGTAACGGAGACTCAAGTTTCTTCACATGATAGCTTGAAGCCGGAAAAACATACCCCACCCCCAAATCCAATCCCAGACTGGGATCTGGGAAGAAAAAGAGAATACACACAGAAAGTTTATCATTTCTTAGCCAGATAGATGCTTTTTGAGTGTGGAGACTGAGTGTAGAGAGTGCTGAGGTGAGAATTAAATTCTGAGGTTTCTGAAGAAAGCCTAAACTGGAAGAAACTGGAGTTTCTGCAGAACTCCATGGACTTTTGAGAAGACGGGAGGCACCAGACCAGGTAGGTAGAGAATTGCTGGAGCATTATTCCAGGGAACACTCTTTAATTTTGGAGAATAACAAATATTTCAATAAAAGAGAGAAAGTGTTCTTGATGTCTTCAACAGAGGACAGACAGATGGCCAGCTAGTACATTACCAACATCACAAGCCCAGGTTCTGGACATACCACCACCAGCTGCCATTTGCATCCCTAGAGTTATCCCAATAGCTTGATCTGAGTTATAAAGGCAAATAAAGCCAAGAGCAGATGTATGCTTAAATTCAGCACATAGATACCAGAACAACCATGAAAATTTTTCAAACAGGTAAGCTTTTCTAAAGAATTTGAATCTGTATTTGAGTTTGAATCTAGCTTTGTTATCTGGAGGAAACAGATAACAACTGTTAATCAAAGAGGAACACTGAGAATGCTTCAATTATATCATAAAAAGGATTCCAGGTACTAAAATATTCAAATCTAAAAATTATTAGAAGTATATGGCTATTGTTAAGTATTGGTTATATGGTATTGGTATTGAACCATTGGTATTGAAATTAGGTTATGGAAATCTTGAAATAGTAAAAATACAAAGAGACTGACAAGGGACTTGTAAGATATCCAAAAACCTAATGTGTGAAATACAGGAGTTTAAGAAAATGAAAGAGGCTGGGAAGAAACAGTAACTAGAGACACAGTGGAGAATTTTCTCACATGTATACAAATGTACCTGTTTACATATTCACACACTGACACACACATAAACGCTGTGGTAAAATTTCTGAATTCTAAAAATAGAAAAGAATTCTAACAAGCTCCCAGGCAGAAAGAACAAGTTATTTACAAAAGAAAACCAATTAGACTGGTATTGAACTTTTCCTTTTTCATACCAAAGGGAAGAAGTACTGTCTATAGAATAACATCCACAGCCTACTGAAAGAAAAGGAATGAAATCTGATTATCTATGCCCAGTTCAGAAATGTTCACCTGCAAAAGAAGCATATTTGTTGATGTGCAAAAATTCAAAACCATATTATTCTGTAATGATGAGAGGAAATACTCAAAAAAGGACTTTATACCAAACAACAAACTGGTAGAGCATATTTTCTCATTTTGGAGGACTGCCTTGGAAGAGAGATACTCCACAGAAGAATGTTTTTGGATCCCAGCCTGCAGTATTGGGCATGTTTTATCTCAGAGACACATTGATTTCGTTTCATGGACAGCTGTATTGTTCTCATCACAGTTTTCCTCCACTATTTTAAACTGGGAGGTGGGTGTTTGGGTTACATTGTCTTATTAGACACAAAAATTTTGTTTATTTGTCATAAATACTAGAATAATCAGAAACTGTATTTGTAATGAACAAGAAGAGTGCACATGAAGTTTCTGCTTTTTATTGTGATACTTTAATTTGGGTCACTTTTGGATTATTCCCCTTTTAAAATAGGGCAACTTTGTTTCAACTGCACTTGGAGTAGTTGAATTAGGCCCATCAGGCCCAAGTTTAGAATGATGTATTTGTGGAAAAGAATTGTTTGGGGTTGCCAGAAGTCATATTGTGGAATATCTTAGGAATATTCTTTGGTGAGCTTATCTCCTTTCATTAGGAAGAAACAGAAGTCCAGCTTTGTACCAATTCTCTATTCAATTGTGTTCAGCCTAGTTATTACATCCATGGACTTTTTTTGGTGGCTGCCTTTTTTACTCTCAAGATTTTAATGGATACTTCTTTTATATTCATACCTTATTGTTTCAATTTTCATGTTTTTTATTTCCTAAGTAATTTAAAGCACACATCCCTATTATAATTTTATGCAGAGTGAATTATCATTTCAGTGTTTAATCACTGTGTACATCTTCCTTAGTTCGATACTACTTAATGTAATTTGTAATTTTAGTTTGCATATATTTTGAGAAAGAGAATCTCATATGATTATTCATATTCTCTCTCTCTTCCCATTTTGATTGCCTTATCCAAACCATGCCCACCCAGTCACCCAACTTTTTCCAAAGGAGCAATCAGAGTTTGGTAGCCCACGTAAGGGACACTTCTGGTTCTTACAGCAACCAAACTTTTTAGCTTTTCTTTTTTTCAGAGTCTCATGGTTTGGTTTTTTATTTCGTTTTTATCTGTTTCCTACCCATAGAAATATGTGTCTTTTTTTACAAGCCCAGCTATAATTAGTTTTTCTCTTCTGTTACATTATTTATTATTGATTTCATGGAAATCATGG